AGCAGCAGGAGGAACTGCACAAGGAAATTCGCCAGCATCTGGCGATGCATCGACTGGAGAAGCTACCAGTTCCGCAGCAGCTACACCCGGTGCAGGAGCAGGAGGAACTGCACAAGGAACTTCGCAAGACTCTGGCGATGCTTTGACTGGAGCAGCAGCTACCATGCCAGGTATTAGCTCCTCAGCAGCTACAGGTGCAGCAGCAGGAGGAACTTCACAAGGATCTTCGCCAGCATCTGGCGATGCATTGACTGGAGCAGAAGCTACCATGCCAGGAATCAGTTCCTCAGCAGCTACACCCGGTGCAGCAGCAGGAGGAACTGCACAAGGAACTTCGCAAGCCTCTGGCGATGCGCTGACTGCAGCAGCGGCTACCATGCCAGGTATCAGATCCTCAGCAGTTACACCCGGTGCAGCAGCAGGAGGAACTGCACAAGGAACTTCGCCAGCATTTGGCGATGTATCGACTGGAGCAGCGACTACCGTGCTAGATATTAGCTCCTCAGCAGCTACACCCGGTGCAGCAGCAGGAGGAACTGCGCAAGGATCTTCGCCAGCATCTGGCGATGCATCGACTGGAGCAGCAGCTACCATGCTAGGTATCAGTTCCTCAGCAGCTACAGCCGTTGCAGCGGCAGGAGGAACTGCACAAGCAACTTCGGAAGCATCTGGCGCATCGGGAAGCACAAATGGTGCCGGTTCGTCCATCGCAGCAGCTTCTAATCTAGGAGCGCAAGCGGCGGCGCAGAGCACCACAGGCGCACCTGCAGGGCCCACGACCAGTATGGTGAAGTGCCTTTGCTGGACAGCACGGAAGGGACAATAGTGCTTCATTTCACTTGCTCGCATTTTGCAATCCTGCAGTTCGCTGCTTCCGCCTACGCTGACACTTTCTGGACCACGAGCTTGCAAAATAGACTTCCCTGAACCATTCCAAGGCTTGTGCCATCAGACAAGGAGAAGGCTATTGCAGAGGAGCTCATTCAGCACGAGGTGCCAGACAAAGCAGCTACACTGGCCGCTCTGCAGCACAAAAGGCCAATGGCGGGAGTTGCTTTAGTTTGGTTATTGTCAGGCGTCTTGAGCATTGTGGATGTTTTGGCTGTTCTCACAGTGATATACTTTCGCAAATATTCGACTACGTATTGGCGATCATCGCGCCCTTCTTCTTCTGCTAAATCCTACTGTTGTGATCGTTGCAGTTGCTGTTGCCGTCGCAGACGCCGTCGAGGGTCGTCGTCGTTGTGGTGGTGGTGGTGGTGGTGGTAGTGGTGGTGGTGGTTGGTGGTGGTTGTTGTTGGTGGTGGTGGTGGGTGGTGGTGGTGGTGGGTGGTGCTGGTGGTGGTGCTTGGTGGTGGTGATTGTGGTGGTTGGTGGTGGTTGGTGGTGGTGCTTGGTGGTGGTGATTGTGGTGGTCGTCGTCGCCTCGGTCGTTGCCGTCGCTGTTGATTGTCGTTTCGTCGCTTCCAAATTGAACAATTCTGTTCTTGTCACTTCTTCCAGGCTTCTTGTTTTCTTGTTACTGCCTCTGCTGTGAACTCTAATCTTGTTGCTTGGCTTCATGCCGTCGTGTCAGTCTCTGAACTGCGCAGGGACAAGCTGTGAGGACATTTAAGCCTCAAGCCCCAGACCCTAGATCCAAAACGCCATGCCGCGCACCAAGAACCCCGTACTGGCGAGCCCTGAACCCTCAACCCAGAGGCCTTGAAGGCCCCCGAAACCCTGAGCGACTCAGATACCGGGTCTGGTACAGTAAAGCTCGGGAGCGATTTGTGTGGCGACACGCAAAACCCACTTGGAGGTTCATGGGTAGTTATAAGTGGGGTTATAAGTAGGGTAACTGTAATTATAAGCCATATTAGGGGACTTGTAACCCCATT